TGGCATGATAATTACTGCCGGTCAGGTTGTCGAGATGTCAGCCACTAGCATCAGTCCTTTTCAGGAATACAATGACCTAATCACACTAGGTTTGCTCCAATTTTGCTGACTTATCATTCATACCTCAAAAATTTCACCGCATTTCTTTTTCTTTTCTTTTTTTTTTGTAGATGAAGGAGGCGTCAGAAAATGATCAAAACTCAAATGCCACTCACTGAAACCCTAACTTATTTTCTCTTGGTCAGTTCCAAGAACGCAAGCTCTGGCGAAGTCCTACATGGAAGTCCTCCTTTGGCGGACTTTCAGTTGTTTCGTTCTCAAAGGTGATTAGGTCACATTCAAAAATGAATACTTTGCGCGTGCTTAAGAATGTCAGACTTAGCGGAGTTCGCGTTCTTGAAATGTGAGCTCTCGGGACAAGGAGTTTTTTTACCGCAACGTGTTCGACATTTTGTGGCGTCATTATTAATTATCGTCAAGTCAGGAGACGGGTTGCTAAGGCCTATTCCACACGTTGTACTACTGCCGTGCCGAATTAAATTCCAGTTAAGAACGACAGTAGCACGACGTTTGAAACCATGCAGTTCGGCAGGCTAAATTAAGTACTTAGCACAGCAGGCTTTGCCGTGCCACACGGCAGTAGCGCGACTTGGCTTTAAACGGCGAGCTCTTGCCGTGCAGAACTAAATTCATAGCCTGATGCATCAGCTGCCGTTGCTTTCAAGCATTTAAAAGGGTCTTCAGCAAAGCAAACATCTTCCGATCTTCAGCACGACTGATTTAAATTCAACGTTTGAAAGCACTGCTGTTCTTTTGTCATGCCACTGCCGGCCAAATTCACTTGAGTTAAGCACGCCAGAAGCACAACATTTGGACTGGGTCTAAGACGCTACTGAGGCATCCGAATTAGATGAATTTCGAGGATGATATAGAGAAGAATCTATCAATTACAGTCTCACGGTCTGCTCGAAGTGAAAACTTTTATTTCCATATTACCTTTGTAAGGTTCGGGAGCGATTTTACAAAATTGTTCCATTCTTGCTCAGAGAACAAGATTGGGTTAGAAATGCAACATAACGTTCATAAAACGACAGGGATCGCAAAGTCGAATCGCTAATTTTCTCTTCTTTTTTTTTTTTTCATGAAGCGGTGGCTACCAGACAACAAAGTCGAATAAGACTTCTATTACTGGCATTCTTGTTACTCCCAACCCAGTGAAGAAGGTCGACATTTTCATGATCGCAAGATCGACAAAAAGTTTTAAAAAATCTGAGTCTTCGGCTGGACTCAGATGGTTTCAAGACATTCACCTTCCCATAATCATAATTGTCTAAAGGGTCAGAAAAATGTTAGACGGCCACGATAAAGTAACTGTATTTTACTGCGCGAGTCAAAAAAACGTGAACACTGATTTGATTTTGACAGGTGAATTGTGTACTAACGAATCACAATAACGACCAGGACACGCGAGGAAACCTCAAAATCACAATGCAAAATACTTTTGCTGTTTGCCTTTTCCCTTGCTACACAATGACAATCCATAAATATTCCTTTTGTTCACGGGTTTTTTTGTCGAACGAAACTGCTTGTTCAAACCCTACCCTTTTCGCGTTTAAAATTCGTATCCCGCTGGATTCATTGAACTGTGAAATTCAAGAAAATCACAAGAAAGCCACAAGCCGCAACTGCATGCTCTCCAATTGTTGAAACAAAAACTAGAAATACAAGTTGATGAACAAGTAGTAAAAAAAGGAAAGGAAAAGGGGAAAATTGACTTGTCATAGCCATCTGTTAATGTCAAATATTAATGAAAAGTATGTTTTTTTAGTACAAACTAAAATGGTGTTTCAGTCTCCATGATAGATCTCGTATGGAGCCTTTGATCTCAAGCTAGAGCAAAACTGTTCAGGTTAGGATGTAGTCCTTCAATTTGGCCGGTTTCGTTAGTATGCGGCCTGACAGGGAACGCTTCCGCTCTGCTGGATCACATGAGCTGTTCTCAGCAAAGCTGGAGTTAAAGAAGCTGGAGCTTTGTCGTTGGAAGGTGTACTTCACAACTTAAGAAGGTCAAGCAGCAAGTTGAGGGATAAGGAGAGTTTCACAGACAGATAAACTGATTCACCGTTAGTGAACATTCAAAGTAAACTCTTGCTCGAGCACACTGCAGTACACTGTTTAACGTAAAGCGCTGTTCCTGAGGGTCTGAAGGGAAAACAACTAGAGCAAAAGTCATTGTTCGACGTTTCCTCCATTACACTGCCACCATATAGCAAGGTCGAGGGGATATTTACAATATTCCATGTTGAGAACCGAGAGAAGACAACAACAGATCGAACCTCGTGTTTGAAGATGACCGACAAGAGCCTCTATTCCAAAGCCAGGCTGTAATGTTACGCACGACACACAAGTATTGTTACAGGCTTCACGAAGACATCAAGAATGTCAGCAACATCCATCATCATTATCAGCATCCATCAATTCTGGGTTGCTCGATCAGAGAATTCTTAACATTCCGTAATAGACGTTGGTGGCAGTGGA